AGCTACTTGGGAGACTGAGGCAGGAGGATCACTTGAGCCCAGGAATTTGAGGTTGCAGTGAGTTATAATGATGCAACTGCACTCCAGCAGGGGCAACAGACCAAGATCCTGTCTCTTTAAAAAAAAAAATTATAATTAGCATTTTTGGGGTCTTAGAAGCACCTCCAGCCAGATCTGAGTTGTTCCCAGAAGCAGCTGAGAGTCATAAGAGAACCTAGTGTAGAAAGGCATTGGCCATGGCTGAACACTTTAGAGAAGTAGATGTCTTGTCTGCTTAACTTATCTTGAAAAACCCATGTACCTGAGATGTGGCTATGTCTGCTGCCTCCAGGGCACCAACTCACTGCAGAAGGAGCCCAGTGGAAAAGGGTTACTGCGTCCCTTCTGCCCCATGATTGCTCAGAAGAAGGACATTAGGCCCACTTTTTGGCTGAGGGAGTTGATTTACAGGATCAAAAAACTAGCCCCAGCTGAGAGCTCTCTTACAGATGAACCCAAGGATGAAGAAGTTCCAAGCGGATATGAGCTTGGATATGAACACAGCCAACATCCAACTTGTCATTTCTGATGACCTGAGAAATGTCCACTGTGGGTGCTTCAGACAAAACAAGAAAGAGCATTCTGAAAGAATCAACTATGTGTAGTGGAGCTGGTTCTGAAGCCAGGGTCCGTCAGTCTGATTGAAGTAGTCCCAGAAGCTCCTTGGGTATGGAGGGTGCTGGCTCAGGGGGGCCCACTGGTTCCAGAAGGCAAGTGCAGTCCCCTGTCTCATGGACGATCTTGCTTCCAGTGCCCCTTCCTTTTGCAGAGAGGGTACGGTCCCAGCAGAGCCCACTTCCTCAAGCATTTCTTATTTAGTGACCGAGGCGATTACAGTTGAAGCAAGGTTTAGTTCCTGGAGAAGGATGTGGTTCTGGTGACCTATTGCCTGAGTCTCCAGGAGTACTCTGTCCTGAAAAGCTCTTCCTATAGCAGTAGCCACCATTTGGAAAACTTCTTTTTGCTATCAGGCCCACTGCCAGTCCTGTTCCCTCTTCCCTCTCTTCTCGCCTCATCTCGGTTATTAAAGACCTTAAAGGCCAGGTCTAAAAGTTCTTCTTGTGGGGTTTGAGGCCACTTTTCAAGTTTTGGGAGTTTATATCGAATATCAGGAGCCGACAGGGATATCAAGTGCATTGCTAATATAGATTGTCCCTCCCTTGTGTCAGGATCTAAATTAGTAAAGAGGCGAATGGCCTCAGACAGTCGTGAAAGGAAAAGGGTTTGATTCTTATCCTGGCCCTGACTAATTTGTGTCTTCTAGCCCAGCAACCTTCTGAAGAGGGAGCTGGTACACAGGTGGGTAGGAGTTTTAGAATAGCTGGCTGGAGTGAGCATGGCTTGGCAAGAGGGGTGGAGACAGAGAAGAAGGAGGAGGAGGAGGGGAAGAAGTAGGGGGACATGAAGACAGTGGAGTTAAAGGGTTAGACAGCAGCACCAAAGGAGGGAGCCGATATAGAGGGGGAACGGGGGGGGGTGGGGGCCGAAAGGGAAACATCATCTGAGTCAGAGGAGGCTGGAGAAAGAGGTAAAAAGTAACATGCAGCAGGCAGAGTGCAGATCAGATGTCAAGCAAGTTCACAGAAAGCCTGAACATAGAGGACTTCAGCCCACTTGCTGAGCCAGAAGCAATAAAGTTCGAGTTGTAGAATGGTATTATGATTAAAAGACCCATTCCCAGGCCAAATCTCCTGGTCATCTAATGTATGTTGTGTCCGGGTTGTATTGAAATAGGAGACTAAATATTTGGGTCAGAGGTTAGGAAGTCCCAAAGTTTGACCGTCATATATCAAAAAGTCTGAGAGGGGCGCCCCTGACCCAGACGACCTTCAGAGTTCTGATCAGACATCAGGCATCCCGAGATCTGAGTCAGACCGAAACCTAGAGATTCAGACAGAAAATGGGCATCCACGAGTTCTGACCCAGATCAAAACCTTGAGATCTTCCCCAAGGCCAGGCGTCTCTGGGTCTGGGTGAAGACCAAGGAGGGTGGTTAGGAGGCATTCCTCCAAGGCAGCCCCACCCCAAGTGGTAGACCCAGAGCCATGTTTTCCATACTAGACCAAACCAAAGAGCTACCACCCATAGACGCGAATGCACGACCATTTCCAAAGTCACTGAGTTCCCAATGGTATTGAGGGTGCCAAGAAGGATGTCCTGGGAGCTATGCAGCAGAGGAGGGAGCAGTTTCAAGACAGAGGTAGAAATTCGAGTTCCCCACATGGGCCACCAAAATGTTAGGGTGGAAACTCGCATCACAGGCTGAGAAAGAATTTTCAACTCAAAAGATCAGGATGTGTTTGAAACAAAAAATTTATTTTACTTTCCAAAAGAGAAAACGACATGGCACGAAAGAAAAAAGAAAGAAGTGCCAACAGTTAGGATGGGAGGTTTGGAGTATAGAGAACAAAGCAGTTGTTGTTAAGAAATGATCATGGGAGTCAGCTGTGTTTGTTTTTCTCTGTGCGACAGGCTTTATCAGTCTTTTCAGAATGTGTGCTGGCAGATGTCAAGGAGGGTTACACTCCTGCTGTCGGCTTAGTATTCTTCAAGTGCTGTAAAACAAACTCTCAAAGACAAAAAGTTAAGTCACAGGTGGTTAAGCAAACAAAGGGACAGTTGTGTGCTGTGTGCTGTGATTTTTCTCTTTATTTTTCTCCTTCACCTTATAGTGGATTTAATTTAATGCTGTGTATCACTCACCATTTAACAAGCAAGGATGTGCTCAACAACTCTCAGCTATCATTAACATAACACAAAAGATCCTCCTGCCTCCATAATTTTATGGACTCAGAGTGGGTACAGAGGGGATGTGAAGAAAAGAATGGAGGTTTTCAGCTTCCTAGAAGAGATCTTCTATTCTCTGCAAAGACACATTGCTGGGAACAGAGTGGACAGGGGAGGAGGGATGGCCAGGGAAAGAAGGTGTGTTTTCCCAAAGGGAAAAATTCACAGTAGGAGGTAGGAGGACTTTGGGTCCTGAGAAGAGGTGAAGAGGGAGAGTTGGTAGAGACCAAATGGTTTGGAATCCAGTTTAGAGGTGTATTGATGGGAGCTCTGCTGTTTCTGTGTGCACAATAGACACATCCCCAGACCCTGATCTTTAACAGATACTGATCAAGTACTCCTCATCCCTTTGAGCATCAGGCAGATGTATAAAAAATTAATGTCTTCCTTTGGCTTCAGGGCCCCTTGCATGATTGCACAAGATATCTGTGTGAATGGTGTCCCCAGCATTATGCAGTGCACAACCTGCACAGTTGTACATGGGAAGCCTGCGTGGCCTCCACCTTCACATGCTTCTGCTTTGCATTGTGTACCACTTGACCACTGTGGTCTTATATAGACCATAAGGTCCCTGAGGGCAGGAACATGGATTATATAGTTTTTAACCTCCCACAGTGCCTGGTACTCTGTTGATTAATAATTCTACTCTAGCCACTCTGTTAGAGGATCCTCTTCTGACTAGCTCCAGCCTCAAAGGAGGCTGTTTTCCTGGCCCTCCAGGAATGCTCATTCCAGGCACCACATAGCCTCATCAAAATCTAGTGCCCAGCCCTTTGTCTGCCCTCCCTTGGATACCAGCTCAACTCAAGCACCAGGATATCGTTAACATCAGAGACTCTCAGAGGGACATGGGGAGGGCACCCTCCCCTGACCAAAGGAGCTCCCAGTACATGTCACCAGAGCCATGGTGTACAGCCCCACAGGCTGTGCACTGTACAACTTCAGGTGACAACCTCATCATAGATAGGATGCATCATGTGTGGATCCCATCATGCAACCCTTATCCGTGCAGGATTCCAGAAGCCTCTGAGGCCATTGTTGGAGAGCTCTCATTTTCAGGCAGTTCCTAGCACCAAGCCAAAATCTGTCCAATAGTGGTTCAAAATCTGTCCAATGTTCCCCTGATTTCTGTTCTGCCCTTTGGAGTCCTACACACAAAGCCTAATCACCCGTTTAAAACCACACCTAGGCTTCGTGGATTCCAACCCAGCCAAGAAGCAACTGCAGCTGGGATGGAAGGAGCAAGGTTCAAAATGACCTGCGTACTAGATGGCTCTGCCCCTGGCATGCCTGCCTCTCTCTGCTGCTGCTGCATGCCCCGAGCCTGGCTCGCAGCCGGAGATACACATGCCCAGTGCAAAAGCAGAGCAGCCAGGAAATCAGACAGAAAAGACTGTGCATTCCTGCTTCCTTCTCAGCAAGTTTCCCCAGGGATGGGCCTCCCTGGGCAAAAACTAATCCCCACAGCCAGGGTTCCTCACAGCTGCCCTGTAAGGAAAGAGCCTCCAAGCTTCCTGAGAGCCGGTGTGCCATCCCCACAGGTTCTTCCCTCTGGAGGTAAGCATGCCAGGGAGTGTGGAGTGTTCCTCCCCGGGACACATCCAGTTCAGGTTTGAGATAAGACAAGGGTTTCCCCAGCACAGGCAAGAAGGACGCCAACATCCTCTCATCTCCCAGGAGAAGGGCCATGCACACATCCCCTCCCGGAGGCCAGTGACACCACCTGCTCCTACCCTGTCCCACAACCCCTTGGGCTGTGCTGCCTATATCCAGAAACCAAAGGCGATACTCAGCTCCTTTCACTCCCATGGGTTCCGGGAACAAATGACAACCCACTGGGCATGGAGAGGGCACCCTCCCCCGACCAAGAAACTCAGGTGTTGGGGCCAGGAGCTCCAGGGAAGGAGAAGGGCAGGCCCCGGACTGCTGCGGACCCCAGACTGGTCCCCAGGAACAGAGTACCTGTGAGCCCACTAAGTGGAGAACAAGAGAGAGAAATAAGACCTCTTGTCCCAGAGGCAGCAAAGTGGCAAGGCAGGAGTGTCAGTGGCACCCGAGAGGGCAGCAGAGTCAGGGACTTTGGGAGAGGTAAGAACGGCCAGGCAGATAAGGCTCTGGGCTCTCCCCTTTGGGGCCACAGCCAGAGAAACAGCTCAATTAGTTGCATAATCCTTCTATTTGCCCAAAGCTACATTTTGCCCAGAAACTCTCTGACCTGAGAGGTGATAAAAGAACGCACCCAGCAAGGACTGCAGTCAGCTAGAGAACAAGGGGTGGTCTCCCAGCCTCTCAGGAAGATGGAGGCCCACAATGCGTCTGCTCATGTCAACTTCACGCTGCCACCCAACTTCGGCAAGCGCCCCACCGACCTGGCGCTCAGCGTCATCCTGGTGCTCATGCTGCTCGTCATGATGCTCTCGCTGGGCTGCACCATGGAGTTCAGCAAGATCAAGGCTCACCTCTGGAAGCCTAAAGGGCTGGCCATCGCCCTGGTGGCACAGTATGGCATCATGCCCCTCACTGCCTTTGCACTGGGCAAGATCTTCCGGCTGACCAACATCGAGGCACTGGCCATCCTGATCTGTGGCTGCTCACCTGGGGGGACCCTGTCCAATGTCTTCAGTCTGGCCATGAGGGGAGACATGAACCTCAGGTAGGGCTGGGGATGAGGAGGTAGCAGGCTGGGATGGGGGTCGCCTTGGAGATGTCATAATCAAGGGGAAGAGCTGGGCTAAAGTCAGCAGAGGAGTGAGCGGGGGCTGGTGGACGCTGGGGCAGAGGGGAGCTGACAATTATTGCCAAGAGCTTATGCTGGGCTGGGGACAGGAGCTGGTGTACTTCTTGGTTTAAGCACCAAGCCAAAGGGACTGAACTAATCCAGGAGCTTCCTGGAGACCCCCTTACTCCCAGAGATGTCTTAAGTGACGCATAAGGATTGTCTTAAAGGAGCCTTGCTTTAAACCAAAGGGACCTCTGGAGAACTGTACCCACCTGCACTGGTGGACAAGTTGTATGCTTGAAGCCGGAGATCCGAAAGGGGTGCAATCCTTTCTAAACATTGCCAGGGAGATCAAAGTGACTTGGAACCAATGAGCACCTCATATTCCTGCAGAGCAGGCAAGAATTTCCAAAAAGTCCTCCTAATTACTTAGGCATCTGGGATGTCTTCTTTTTAAAACCCCTCATCCCCCATCAGATGCATACCACTTACATGTAAAGGCACAACCAAGAAGGGCCCAGAGTTCTCCAGCACCCACCTGGGTTATGCTGGCCCCACCCCAGCCAGACTGGTAGAGGGAAGACAGCAGCCTCCCCGCACCCAAAGCACCTGGAGCACAAATCAGCAAGGGCTCACTCCTGGAGATCCAGCACATGGGGGCTGGTGAATGCCTGACCTTCCAAACAGGGGGGACTCCAGTCTGAAATACCCACCAGAGGAGCCATTCAGACCCACTCCAGCTCCAGCCCCCTATGCTGAGGCTAAAGAAAACTCACTAGCAGAGGCTCTTGCTCTTAGCTAAGCCTCAGCCTGAAGCCAGTTCCCTCTGGTTCAGTCCTCAGTGGAGACACTATTCAATGCCGGGTTTAGCAGTGCAGTCCAGAGGCCCATCTGCTTGTGTCTGTCAGCACCCTACCCCTGGCCGAAATTTGCTCAGAAAACAAACAAGTAAAGAAGCCCTCTTTGGTGATGCCAAATGACTCTGGGACTGATTTTTACAGGGGGGGAAAAAAAAAAACAGGAGTGAATTGTGGGTTGTCAGCCCCAACCTCTGAAATGCTCTGGGGTCTCAACCCACGTGGCACAGCCTCACTTAGGCAGTCCTTGAGAGAGGCGCAAAGAGGGGACTTGGCTCGTGCAGACTCCCACAGCGATATGTTGCAATGTTCAACCATCTCCTGGGAGGAAATTCTTCCCTCTGTCCAATTCAAATCCTTCCTGCTGCAAAGCAAGCCCTTGGTCTTTGATCTGGCCTGCAGCCTCTGTGTCCCCAGGAACCCAAACTATACCTTAAGCCTAGTGTAGAAGAGATGCAGGGAGTCGGGGGCCAGGGAGCGACACTCTGAGGGCTTTGTGTCTCTGTGGAAGAAGCAGAGCAGTAGGGACAGCATAAGGGACAACAGGGGAGTTGTTTTTTTCTGGGGTTTTTTTTGTTTTTGTTTTTGTTTTTAGACAGAGTCTCACTCTGTTGCCCAGGCTAGAGTGCCGTGGCATCAGCCTAGCTCACAGCAACCTCAAACTCCTGGGTTCAAGCAATCCTTCTGCCTCAGCCTCTCGAGTAGCTGGGACTACAGGCATGTGCCACCATGCCCCACTAATTTTTTCTATATATATTAGTTGGCCAATTGATTTCTTTCTATTTATAGTAGAGATGGGGTCTCGCTCTTGTTCAGGCTGGTTTTGAACTCCTGACCTTGAGTGATCCACCTGCCTTGCCTCCCAGAGTGCTAGGATTACAGGCGTGAGCCACCGCGCCTGGCCTACAGGAGAGTTTTTAAGTGTGAGTGACCAGATGCCCCAGCCTCCTCAGCCAGTGGGTGCTTAAGAGGCCTCTGTGCAAAGTCTGCCTTTCCATGGTGCTAGGCCCCACCCGGGCCGAGCCTCTGGTGACTCAAGAACAGGCCCCTCATGCTCTTCTGCTCAGCCTCTGGTCCAGGCACCTGGTGACTGTCACTTCTACCTAGACCCCACAAGAGATAACACTCTGCTGGGACGCCTACCTTCTGCCATCAAGCCCCTTCCCCACAAACAAGTCTCCCACACTGCTCATTAAGCCATGTCCCAAACCACCGGCAGGGCGTGAATCTCCTCTACTATCATGTGCTGCCAGACTTCAAATTCCAATCTGAGTGCGCCTGGGACAACTTGTTACACGTGTTGTAATAAGGACAAGGACAAGAAATAGCCAGGCACTGCACTGAACGCTTTGCCTGGAAAAGGGTGCGTGATCCACATACAGCCCCCCACTCCCGAGGAGGTGCTATGACCATGCACAGTTAGAGAAGAGGAAACTGAGTCTTAGGTTAATACACCCACTCAAGGTCTGGTGGCTCCAGGGGCTGTGTTTTCACTCAAATATCTTCGAGTCCCTCATGGCCACAAACAAAGCAGCAGCCTTGGAGGCACGGCCTGTCATCAGAGCAGACGCCATGCGTCTGCAGTGGCATTCTGGGGAGCAGGAGGCCCACTGCCACCACAGCTTCCCGCTTTTCCAGAGAAGGTAGAATATCCATTTTGACGTGAAATCAGCAACTCAAGCAAATTGTTTAAAAAGATTATGCAAACCAAACAATACACGTTGAAGAGCCAGATGTAGCTCACAGGCCTCCATTTGCAACCTCTCTTGAAGCACAACACTTTACTATTTCCATTCAGAGTTGGAGGGAAGTGTAAGACCCCAATCCTATTTTATCCATGAAGAGACTGAAGTCCGGAGTCTTGCCAAAGGTCTCGCAGAATCTGTGGGAAGCATATTTCTAGAGCCAGCCCAGGGCCCTCTCCCAGTGAGGCAGCTGGAGCGAGTCTGGGACAGTCTGCCATCACAGGAGCCTGGGCCACCAGGTGGACCCCTCGACATAGCCAGGCATGGCACCTCCTTCCTCGCGGATACCACTAGACAGACAAGCTGCAAAAAATATAGGTGACACACAGGCAAGAAAAAATGTCCTCAAACCTGAAGTGAGCTTACCTTGCCAGGGACAGAGGAGAGAGTGCCAGAGGGGCCTGGCCCCCTTTGGCTACCCGCCCCGTTCCCCTCAAGCTCATCTGCCCCCCCCACCACCACCACCACCACCGTGCTCACAGCAGAGACAAGAGCTAATGGTGGTGGGGATGACAGGCTTGGACACAGCCTAAGAACTTCCACAGGTCTGCCCCCCATCATGCAGGAAGCCCAATCACAATGAGATGGAAGCCACCCGCACTCCCACCTCCCCACAGAGATTCTCGTGGGTCCCCTCACAACTCCTTCAGTTTCTGCCTCTAATCCCTCTATTGACAGAGGCTCAAAACCAGTCCCTCAAACAGGGTGCACAGGTATCCAGAAATAGGGTCTATGCAATGTCCTTAACTTAAGCAGTAAGTAAAAACAAAGAACCAAATGTGCTCCTTTCCCCCTGAGAGGCAGCCAGGCCCATGGTGTTACCATGCTTCCAATCTCTGAGAGCTAGAGTAGGTAAAGCCACCTCCTCTCTCTCTCCCTGTCCCTCAGGGTTAACTGAAGTTAAATGAGAGGCACAGATACCAGCCAGCTAGGAGATGGATATCCCTGAACAGCCTCCAGCACCTGAAGCACATGGAAATCTAGGAACATGCTCCCATCTCCCCACGCTGACAAGGCACACCAAGTCCAAGAGCAAACTCCAACACTCCTACACACCAAGCCAAAGTAAATTTGACTTCTCTGCTCTAGCACACCAAAACAAACACACAACTTGTGTATGACTTTTCTCCTAAGAAGAGATCAATAACTAGCATCGAAGGCCCCTGAAATTCTCCTCCCCAATCAGCACCTCCCAGAATTTGGTGTTCAGCATTTCGACAGATCCTTTTCAACTATTAGCACATGCATATATTCAGAAACAAGATATGCTGTTAAATTTGTATGTCTTTTAATTTTTTTTTTTGAGACAGAGTCTCACTTTGTTGCCCGGGCTAGTGTGAGTGCCATGGCGTCAGCCTAGCTCACAGCAACCTCAAACTCCTGGGCTCAAGCGATTCTTCAGCCTCAGCCTCCCGAGTAGCAGGGACTACAGGCATGCACCACCATGCCCGGCTAATTTTTTGTATGTATATTATTAGTTGGTCAATTAATTTCTTTCTATTTTTATATTAGACAGGGGTATCTCACTCAGCTGGTTTCGGACAGACTCCGACTCGAGCATCCGGCCCGCCATCGGCCTTCCAGAAGGTGCTAGGTAGACAGGCATAGCCACCACGCCCGCTTTGTTGTTTTTTTTTTTTTTTTGTTGAGACAGATTGTCTCAGACCTTCTCTGCCTGGCTAGAGTGCCATGGCATAGCCTAGCTCACACAACCTCAAAACTCCTACGGCTCAGCGATCGTCCTTCCCACTCCCAATAGCGGGACTACGGCTATGCGACCACCATGCCCAGCTATAATGATTTATCAGGAGATTAAGTTGTCCTGTATATTCGTTCTCTATTTTCAGTAGATCGTGGTCTCACTCTTGCGCAGGCTGGTTTGACTTCCGACCTTTGAGAACACACCCACCGTTGGCCCCCAGTAGTACGGCTAGACTACAGGCGGAGCCCGGCGCCGCCTGGTTAGTATAATATTAAACGATGTTAGGATTATAAGAATCTACTCATCTGGAGTTACACACTATATTCTCTAATATTTTCTTTGAAAGTTTAAAATTTTTAATTTTCACATGGAAAGCTCCAATCAACTTAGAATTTATTTTTATGTATGGTGTGATCGTAATTTCTATTTCAGTCCAGCATGAACTACAGAAATATCGAATACCACTGAGGCAATTTGTCCTACGTTGATTATATCTATGGTATCTGGTTCGTGTCTGGGATCCCTCCTTCTCTTACTGTTTGGTCATATGTGGCTGCCTTGCGACCAGCACCAGTTTCTTAACTGCATGATTTTGCATAAGTCTTTTTTTTTTCAATCTAGAAGGTCAAA